CAAACACTACATGATTGATTACATATATTATATTCATTAATTTATTGCTTAAAAAAAATCTACATAAATTTCTTACCGGAACCATTATCTCTCTTCAAATGTAGAACTTTTCATAGAAGGCTGTGTCAATTTTGTTTTGATTTTGGAACGGAAGAAAGAAAAAGTTAATGAAGATCACGTGCAAGGGTTTTAAGGATTGGGTAAGCTTGCGGCACAAATTTGATTATTGGTTGAATTGTGGGTGGGCAGCAGCCCAGGCCCAAATATAGTTCCAAAAGAAAAAATAACTACAATAAATAATTAATACCATTAAAGTTTCCCTTAAGCTGACTGTTGGTGTAACTCCTTCTGTACAATTTGTGCTGTGTGTTATGCATTGTGCATGCTGCTCTGTTTTTCACTGTGACAAACCAACAAACAGGGGCGGTGCGAGATGGTTTCCGAGGCTGATGAAAAAAATGTGATGCCCAATGATGATCAGTGTTTTTTAGTGTATTTCATTGTCGGAACCTACTTTGGTCCTGACATCAAATCCGAAGGAGCCACCAAAAAATCAATATTGCAGAGAGTAGCAGAAGGGTTCCCTCCATATACATTGAATCAATTAACCAATTCTTTCGTCAAAGTTGCTGAATTGGAACGTGTTTATTATTATATACTCAGGAAGAGTGATAAATCACTGATCCTGAAGATAAGCTTTCTGCGTCGGTTCTTTCAAGGTCAGGGTGGAAATAGCAATTACCCCCACTTTCTCGATTTGTTCCCTCCCCACTTGCACCCTCAGTCCCGCTTCCAAAACCTCTATAATATCGTTCACAATATTGTGTTTATTAACAATCCTGATATCAGGTACATAAAGCCAGAGGATGTTGCGAGGTTCAAGAGACTGAGTGGGGTTGAAGAGTTGCATGTGGACAGAGACGCTGTCAGGTTGCAACTGGGTGCTTCTTCTTTAGACAATTGTGTTCTCAACAACTCTAACATGTCTATGGGGAAGAATGAGAATGAGTTCTCTGGTGGGTTTTATAAGTTTCGGGATAATGTTAATGGTCGTGTGAGGGATGCTACAAGTCGACATCAGGGTGGTGATATTGAAGATGAGGTGAGGGATGATCCTGAAGAAGTTGGGGCAGCTATGTTGTTTCTTCCTACCCCTCCTTCTAGGGAGGAATTGTCTGACATGGTGGCTGCTACAAAGAATGGATTTGCTTTAACTGGAAGTGTGGCTAAGGCACAATTTGGTCCCAGCATAGGACTTCTGGACATTGGAGAGTGTGAAGACTCCTACCTCTTTCGTGTGTCTCTTCCAGGAGTCAAGAGGGATGAAAGTAAGTGACTTGTTCAGTGTCAACTCTCAAGAATTCATTTCTAATATACTGGCTTTGCTGACTGAAAATTTCCATGAAAATTGTGTAGGACTCATATAAAATTCAAAAGAACACAATTTTACATATTTTAATTCTTTAACCAGTGTGAAGAACTGAATAGTGTTTGTCTTGATGTATTTGTGTGTTATTCTTTTAATTCTGAGGTTTTATGCTGTATGCACCTGAATATTGGGAATGCCTATTTTGTGTAAATGCTGTGAACTTTATTGCAAAAAGCTTTTGATTGATGAAATGGTTTGTTTTAAGTTTCATGCCAGCTGATATGGATCTCAATATATGAAGGGGTCGACTTGTTATTGTAGGAGAAATCTACCCTTCTGGAAGCTTATTATATTTAATTTTTGGTAATTTGCTTTCTTAAATATGGTCAATGGTGCTTTTAAGTGTGTTAAGTAATGCTTATGTATGCCAAATTTCTAAATTGGCCATGAAAATAATAACCCCGTTTGATAACTTTTACAGCATTGTGTCTCAGATATGCTACTGATAACTAACATAGCTGGGGTTTATAACTGCAGAGGAATTCTATTGTGATGTTGAGACTGATGGGAAGGTAATGATAACAGGAGTAACTATAACAGGAGAGACTACAGTATACAGGTATTCTCATGCTTTTGAAATGCAAACTCAAAACCTTTGTCCACCAGGTCAATTTACCTTGTCCTTCCGGCTGCCTGGTCCTGTTGATCCACATCACTTTTCAGGTAATTTTTGCACTGATGGAGTTCTTGAAGGAATTGTTATGAAAGCAAAATCAGGATGAAAAAGTTGTTTGGTTAGAATCATCTCTTTTATTTCACTAGGCACCATCGAAAGCTACTATTGGGTTGAGTGACAATATCAAGTAGGGTAGCTACACTATCCTCACTTTGAATATCCAATTGTCACATGATTAATTAGTCCATTTTATCCACATATGAAAGAGTGATTCACAGACTTGTGTTAATTTTGTGCTGACTACTCTGCAACTTAAACACACAATCCCTCTCCATTTGGTAACTCTATATGTAACTATATTGTTCCACCCAACTGGAACTAGGCCCTCAGTGACTGCACATGGAAATAGATGACACCTTCATCAAGTGACTTGGATAACATTAAAAGTTCAGTTCTTTCTTATTAGATGGTTTCAGAATTGATTTCTGGCATTTTCCTACTTTTTCATTTCTGAAAGATTGCAGTCCATTATTACTGAACTTTGAAACTTTTAAATCTTACTTCATTATATTCAAGTCAAAAACACGCGACTGAATGATCAAGTTCATAAATTAACTATGGGAAGAGATTGGTTGATAATTGAGACCTTCACATATTACAATCTTGACACTTGACCAATGACTTTGTGTTGTTCTTGAGGGTCTCAATTGAAATTTGAAAGCTATATTGTTCCATATTAGTGTTATTTAGCTCCATTGTTATTATTGACACATTCTCATTCTGATCCTTAAATAAGTTCCCAATTCTGTTTCAAAAACATGTACTTTTATTTTACATGTATAATAATACTTAAATAGAAGCTGAAATGTCAATGATTTGAGGGATTAACATTTTTCAATTGTACATTGATTCACTATTTGATTCCTATATATATATATATATATATATA